GATTTTTTTGCACCCTCAGATTCCAGATTTTCAAATAGTTGTATCTCGGCCAAATATCATCCTGTCCTAACAAACCATACATCAATGGAAAGCTTATTTATTCAGCTTTCAGATGATGTATAAATCTCAATTTCGAGAAATTGACCCTTATGACTGGTTTTGTGGTCCAGGGTCACATATGTTTGTTTAGTTATGATGTCAATTTGTAGGGCAACCTGGAAGGCAATTATGCAACTTACTGTATATTTTTTAAGACATTTCTAAATTCACATTTGATATACAGTATTAATGTTTGTTAATTTTGTTGTCAAACAAAACAGAAAAGTTAACGTATTGGTACCCTATCAGTTAAAGGCCAGTTTTTATTTAATTTACTGATATCAGTTGATACTTTTAATAATTATTAATTAAATATTATTATATATATTATTCTTAAATTGTGCTGCTCATTCCCATATTTTTACATTTTAATTACCTGTCATATATATTGCTGTCATATAACGCTTGCTTACTGTAAAGTCAATTTTAAAAAATACTAATTTAATAGCATTGTTAGAAGTAGTCTTTAGTAAATCAATTTTTCATACATTCATACAAAAGACATTTGTAATGTACATGTGTATCTCACCATAATCTCTCCAATCCTGCAGTTAAAGGAAACATTTTCATCGCCTTCATCTCGGGAAACACGAATACAAACTTCTCGCAATGAGCAGCCAATCATTTTCAACAGGAAACATCTATGCATAGAACCACATTGAGTTTGATTAGAGAAGGTATTAATGGTATGCCCAAAAACATTTAAACTTGAAAGCAGGGATCAGCAACCTATGGCATGCAGGCTTTTGAATAATCATTGGCATGTGAAAAATAGCGAAGAGTCAAACATGCGTTCCGACATAAATTTCGAGGTAATAATTCCTCATTGTCACACAGCCTGTTTTCATCAGTTAACAGCTATAAATACTATTTACACTGTGAGATGCGCTAGTCAGGAGGGTTATATCCTAGTACAGTGGATATATCCTAGTACAGTGATTAACTAGGAAAATGAAAAATTGTTTAGACTCTCACCTGGTAGTCCAGCCGTCCAAAGTCCAACGGCCACAATTCTGTGCAAACTGCTCAACCAACTGGTTATCCACTGCTAATGCTTCTGGAAAGACACTGCTACCTTGCACAGACTTCAGAAAGTCCAGATGGAATCATGCCCTCCACCATCAGAGAGCTGCCTCCGATCCAAGCGTCCTCTGAGCAGCCACGGGTTCTCAGCCAGCCGCCATTGTTCAAGTCCTCAGAGAGGTACAGAGGCTGGATCTCCTGAGCATGCAGATTAAACCAGCTTCTCTTCATCTCAACCTACATCATACAAAAAACTAAGAAATTACCAGGGATGCATCAATATTTGAAAATGGCCAATAAGTAAATTCAATACTAGTTTGTCTAAATAAATGAAGAATAAAACACTAAAAACTAAAATTGATTGTCTTAAATGCTACAAGTGAATTTAGGCATTATGAATTACAATATGAGAATGGATATTCGTTTAGACATTTTCAAAATATTACATTTAATGTTACATTTCTAAAGTTTTAAACTTTATGGGTGGATGAAGGAAACGGTAATCTAAATGTAAAAATAGGCATGAACAATTAAATATCCAATGTAGAATGATACAGATACATTAAAAATATCTATAACTGTAGCTGGATCTGTAACTATAACTGTAGCACTCATGTTTTCATGAATATTCAACAAATCAAAATAAGCCATAACTTGGACTGCTTGTTTCTGAGGGTCAAGGCCAAAAAACAATGTAAAAATACTTCACATCTTAAGAAACCATGAAAACATTTTATTTTATTGGGCTCTTACGTTTCGTAGCTACTAAGAGACTTCTTTCAAAAACAATTTAAACTCCTTACTAACACCAGAATTCTGAATGGTAGTGTTCATATATTGAAATTATTCTCTAACTAAAACTTCACTAACCTTATTGGTCTCAAATTTCCCTCCGACCACCTTCCCTCTTGCAAACACGTCAACACCAACATAGATGTCAGCAAAGCGGCCCTGAGCAGCAGAGTAGGACTTCATCCACTCCAGACTCTGCTCTGTCCAGTTGTAGTTAGTGAATATTCCATCACAGGTATCAAAAAACATTCTGACAGGATGAAAAAAGGAAGCTGATGGCATAAGTTGCACAATATCTACCGCATAAATCTCACAGACCTGATTTGCCCCTCTATAATGCCTCAAGACCATTACTTGCCTGTTGTCATCATTGAGTTCATTCTGCCAGTTGAGCGAGCCGTTTTTCAGCACGCTGTCATACCAGATCACCACACTGCCTGGAACGCGCTCATGCACCTGGTCTGTGAGGTAGCGCAGAAAAGGGCCAGTGTTCTTCACCGCAGTCTCCTGAGGAGTGAGTGAAATTTGGGGTTATGTACCACACATTATGTCCACATAGGCCTCTATATAATCAGATATGCCTTGGTTACTCACACTCAGCACATTTTCTATGTTAATGAGCCAGCCGTCAAAGCCGTAGCAGTGGGAAATCTGAACCAACTTATCAGCAGCTGCGCGGTAACTCTCCTCATCTGCAAGGAAGGCCTCACATATCTTCGCTCCATCTGTCCACTCTGTGATGAATGTGCCTTAGAGGGGAACAGGACTATTTTAATACATCAATTCTGGTTTCACTTGTGTATAGAGGAGGTGCTGTGGTTAATTACAGGAATAGTAAACCAAAAATGAAATAATCATTTATTCACTCTCATGTCATTGCAAACATATAGTTTTTCCTGTGGAGCACAAAAGCAGAAATTTTGTAGTATGCCCAAGCTGCTCTTTTCCATGCCATTACACTGAGAACACTAGCTGTCAACCTCCAACTATAAATGTATATTCAAAGTGTCTATATGACTTGTGCGCTATATTATGACTCTTCAAAAGGCATATGACTGTTTTTTGTATAAAGCAGGCTGAAATTTGAGTCACTATATATATATATATAAATTTTTTTTCATAAAGCACCTTTCTCAAGCTCAAGGTCATATGGCTTCAGAACACTTTTAATATGGCAAGCAATTTATATGGATTATGTTTATGATGCTGTTTTGTCCTGATAGGAGCTTGGACGTCACCTGCTGTCTATTGTATGGAAAAGAGCAGCTTGGACACTCGGCTAAATTTCTCCTTTTTTGTTTCACAGAAGAAAGAACAAACATGGTTTGGAACAATATCAGGTTGAGGAAATGTTGACAAAATATTTGTTTTTGGGTGAATTACCCTTGTGAAAAAGAAATCTGCATAATTATATTGAATGAACACTTGTAGCGTAATTCAAATCCTGAAAATATATTTTTTAGTGCTGTGTCGTGAAAAGCGCTGTACAAATAAACTTGACTTGACTTGACTTAACATGCATGCATGTAGATATAGAAGAAAAATGTTATGTTAATATTTTAAATATATTTATATAATATAAATTATATGAATATAAATTTAAGCATGTAAATACATTTAAATATTTTAAATATATATACTGTATGTGTGTGTGTATTTATATATACATAAATATACACAGTACACATACATATATTTTGTAAACAAAAACAATTTTTGGATGCGATTAATCATGATTAATCGTTTGACAGCACTAATATTTGTAAAAACTACTTGCAGATAATATTAATGGCATAATAGGCCAATTAAGAGTACACTTTCAAGAATATGTTTCTTAGCATAAGTCCACTTTTAAGAAAAATGCACTTTGTAACAATGTCAGTAAGTTTTTCTTTAAAGTAGATTTTAAACTTTTGTCATTTAAAGTACACTTAATTTGATGCGTTGACCAACATACTCACACTAAAGTACATGGTTATGTTATTCAGTATTACATTTCAAATTAATATTTGAAATGTACTAAATTTACATTTCATCATTACAAATGTGTAACTACAAATATATTTAAAAACCATATATAGACATTTCAATAGAATTAAGAAATTACATGAAAGATTTAAGCATATAGTATAAATTTAAACTATAATAGTGTTTCATTTAATGGCAATTAATATGCATTTTAGTGTCAGAAAACATTACATTCAGTTTGCACTTAGGTATATTCTTTTATAATATAGAGTATTTCTGCTAAAGCATACTTCTTTATTACAAGGATGTTCTTTTTAGAGCAAGTCCTTAAAATCCCACCAAGAGACTCACCTATAGAGAGCACTCCATGCTTATGTGCTGCGTTTGTCCAAACTGCAGGAGGAATGGTTACCATCTGATGACTGAAGTAGTTGAAGATGTCAATATACTCCCAGTGATAGAAGGCATATGGTGTCTCCACCTCTGCACCTTGAATGAACCTCAGCAGAAAGGACAGGACCATGAAAACAACTAATGAAACTGACATAACACGCTTGAAAATCGGTTAAACTCTGAGTTGTACCTGTCCTCCAGGTAGCCACCCATCATGTCATGGGACACCAATGTCCGTCTAGGGCAGCTGTGCAGTGGAGGATACCTGCTAGCCAAAGGCACAGTGGCCACATTAAAAGGGCTTGCTTCATTGCGTTTCCACGACAACAATTCATCAAGAGACTTCAGACTGCAGCTGATGGGCTCAGTTGTGTCAGGATCATAGTGGATTGCTGTTAGATCACAAAAAATACTTTTAAAAGAGCCAGTAATCTTTTAAAAAGATTAAGATGCAGCATATATGATCAGTACCTGGCAACCTAGATGGCTCGTAAGTTATGACTTCATGAACACTTTGATCGCTTGGCTGACTGAGGCAAGACTCAGAGCTGAACAAACAAGCATCACATTGAACATAAGTTGTAATGGCAATAAAAGATTTACATAACATGCAGATACGATTATAAAAATGCATCAGTCAAAGCAAAGTTACCTGTTCTCCTCAGATTTGGGAATCTTACTGCTTGTAGTTTCTTCCCTTTTTCGTTTGCGGGATGTCATGTTATCTTTCTCTTTTGTAGAAACACTTTCCATTTACAAATGTCAGCGGATAGCCAGTTTCCAGACAAAGCAGTAATTTCTAGCAGCAGTGAGAGTCAGAGTTAGAAGCAGAAAGAACGACCAGCTTCCGCCTGTGCGCTGATTGGCTGAAAGAGTGGCAGTGCGTCATCCTGCGTGACGGTGTTGCTCTAGCTTCACTAGAGGGCAGTAGAGTAGACCTTTAATGACTGGCAACAGAGGCGACAGGTAATTGCTTTACCCAGATGGAATATTATGAAATTAAACTGCCTGTTTTAAAATGTATATCAAAACATATTTGTGACCCTGGACCACAAAACCAGCCATAAGGGTCAATTTCTCGAAATTGAGATTTATACATCATCTGAAAGCTGAATAAATAAGCTTTCCATTGATGTATGGTTTGTTAGGATAGGACAATATTTGGCCGAGATACAACTATTTGAAAATCTGGAAATTAAGTTCTTAGCAATGCATATTACTAATCAAAAATTAAGTTTTAATATATTTACAGTAAGAAATTTACTAAATATCTTCATGGAACATGATCTTTACTTAACGTTCTAATGATTTTTGGCATAAAAGAAAAATCAATAATTTTGACCCATACAATGTATTTTTGGCTACTGCTAAATATACCCGTGCTACTTAAGACTGCTTTTGTGGTCCATGGTCACATTTCATGTTTATCCTAAGCACTCATGAAAAGTTATACGGTCAGTTGCTGTGAATCATCAAGCCATCTTACATGCACTGACCTAGACAAGATACACAAAGCATGCTGCACCCGGTAAAGCCACTGGAGTTATCATTTGAGACTCAGAAGTACAATAAACAAGATAACTATAAATGTGACTCATGGAAAAAAAATATTAGAAATAAATAGCCAATTACCCACATTATTATATGATTTTGAATACTGGGGTGAGCCCTGGTGAACAGTAAGTATGTGGCTTCACTATGATTTTCTGCAGGATTATTTAGTGGTAGTGGTAGTGTTATGTGAGGCCTCCAGTTTCCAGCTAGAAAACGTATTCAAATAACCAAATCTGAATTAGAGAGGAGCTCAAATACATCAGTTCATAAATAATTCACATTCTTTGTCCATTTTGTCTCATTCCGAATGTGTCTAAACACTTCTCATACAATCGTCTATTTGCTGCTGGCACAATGATTCTCTTCTGCTTTTTCTTCTTTCAGTAGTCATGAAGGGCCTGCAGTCTGAAGCAGAAGGGATACTAGGGTGCCATGGAAATCTGGAAGTTTCATTTTCATTAACAGTTTCTGAGATGCAGACTTTAATGTAGTAAAAATTCATTTTCACCCACAGCTTCATGGGCACAGATAACATTTGCGTATATTGTTTTTCAATTATTCTGGTATACATAAATCAATGATAGTAAAACCAATATCACTGCCAATCTAATGTTTTGGCAACACATCGAATGCATATACACTTACGTTAAATATACATCCATATATTTACTTGAGGCAACTTGCATAGACATTCTGCAAGCATTCAAAAAGAGAAACTAACAACATGTAGATTAGCTCATTTACAGGAACTCAACTTGAACGTGTCGAGTCATCCCCATCGTTTCCTGTCATTCTTTTCCTTTTTTCCCTTTGCATTGTTATGCTTCTATAATAAGTCATCAAGTTTGTTTACAATGATTCAATTAAAGCCGTTATATATTTTAAACATATTTATCCAGAAAATATTTCAATTTAAATTCTGATGGAACAGGCCTATGCTAAATACGCATTGAACAGCTTTGCATGGTTTGCTCAAGCCAGTCGATGTGTTGGGCTTAATGTATTCGTGACCCACATTAGATCTGTGTTTGTGAAATGATTGTGTTACGCCACAGCACTGATCAATCCACTGATGCCCCGCAGGTTATTACAGAGGCCAGTCCGGTTCCCGCCGGAAAGTTCAAAACAAACTGCAATGTTCTGCAGTGAAAAGCTACAGTGGAACAGACTAGACCATAAATGCTCTTTTCTGACATTAAAGTTAAAGAACAAGAAAAATACATGTATGGAAATGTCCAATTGAGCCAGGCCTGATTTTTCAAACAAGCAGCGATGCCTTTAGTTTACATGAATTTGACTGCATATGACTTCTTCAAATATTTGAGATGGATATGCATGTTAAGCTTCTCCAGAAACTCAGTATGCACTTTTTCACAGATATTCGGCATATTTGAAATAACATTCCAGTTTGAAATTTCCAGTTTCCACTAAAAAGACAGCTTTTAATATTTCACAAATTACTGAACCTCAGAACTGGCCAGGTTATTTTCACAGTTGCACAGAAACGGAAAGAAAAGCTGGCGTCACAAGCACGCTTAGGTGAACATGAAAACATGATGAGAGCCGCAGACTTTAGGACCCAGCTGCGTCTGTAATGTCAGACGTGCTGCTAGAAGTGTGTTCCGGTGAACAGAACTGAAATCTGAAGGTGGCAGAGCATCATATTTTAGTAAGTACCATTTACAGTTAGTTTCATATCCCGGAAGCTTATTATGGCAATTAGAGGATTTGGGTAAATGGTAAAACATGGTGTAATGCCAAAATGACGTTAATTAGCCTCTCCAGAATAAGATAAATATTTGCACAGATCTTAGGACCAGGTTTAAAAGTCAATTTGATGTCATTCAATCCGCAACCCGCGACCTGGGATTTTTTCACGCAACTTTACAAAAAAGAAGCCCAAAATCGCGTATAATACGCGGATTTAGCAACTATGCTTATAATGAAATTGTGGTGTGCGTCATGGCAGGCGTGGCGTACTGGTGTGTTCACTGCGCAGACTCATTGGCATGATTGAGAGCAAACGTGAGAGGTCACGGGCCTACTGCTATGGAGGACCAAACCTGCAGAAATTATAAATAAATAAATAACAGAGAAATAAATGACTTGATAAAAACAAATATAGTTCATTTGTAATAAAATGTAATCCTGAATTTATTTTTATGACCTTTTTCCTATATCCAAAGGACCTAGTTAGACCTACGGTCTACTCAGGCTCACAATGCTTTTTGGAATCGCGGCCCACTGGCAGTTGACGTCTATATTCGCAAGTTTAGGGACCATCTCTAAAGTTAAATACGACATTGGTATACATGATTGTAACTTCAATAGCTTTTGAAGAGAATGACTTACAGTCACAAAACCAACTGTAAAGTGTTCATCTACGAATCAGGTATATTTAGCAATATTTAGATATAATTTGAGTTTATTTTAATAAATGTCGTATATCATATGTAAGTTTAGAGACGGTCCCAACACTTGCGAATATTGAATAAAGGAAAACTTGAAATCGCATCATATGACCCCTTTAAGGTCCTGAAGGCATCATAATAGACTTGCGTACTACAACCTATATTCCCCTGAGAACATGAGTGTCTCATCTCTCCACAGAGCAGTAGAGCATCATGGGTGGAGTGGCACTGGATGATGGCAGTAGTGGAGTGAAGGCCCCTCATCACAGGTTTCTCCTACGCTCTTCCCAAGGCTGTCAGTGTTTTCTTCAAGGAGCTGATTAGAGAGTTTGAAGTGGGCTACAGTGACACAGCCTGGATCTCCTCCATCCTGCTGGCTATGCTTTATGGCACTGGTATGTTCACCACTGCCTTTAACTGAAAATTGAGTGTTTATTGTTGTCACACTATTTTCCTATTTAATACTGTAAAGCTGCTTTGACACAATCTGTATTGTTAAAAGCGCTATATAAAAAAAGGTAACTTGACTTGACCACCAAACAAAGTAGTAGTTCACCCAAAAATGAACATTCTGTCATCATTGTTCCAAATTTGTATTACTTTCTTTCTTGTTCATGGGAACAGAATGTCTGAACTGTTTTTGTCCATGTAACAAATGTCGATGGGGGTCTAAAACAGCACTGGAGTAAACAATGACAGAATGTTCATTTCTGAGTAACAATCCCTTTAATGTCTTCTAATTAGTTTAAACTGGATACAAATACCGTATTGGCCCGAATATAAGACGACCCTGATTATAAGACGACCTCCCTTTTTCCAGATGTACCTTTTGGAAAAAGGCTTTTTAAAAACCAAATCTTGTTTTTTCTCAGTAAAACACATTTTGTCTTCAATTATTTTCATATTGCATATTTTTTTGAAAGTATGGTAAAAACTGGTAAAATGTACCAACAATCACATTTAAAAAATAAACACTTTTTGATATACCATAAAAATAAAAAAAAAACACCATCAGGTTAACGTGACAGTCACGACTCATGCAGCTTTAAGGTTTTCTGCTTCTTTTGTTTTTACTTGCGCTCTTTACAACACGCATTACATTACGTATTTCATGGCACACTCGTTTTATGCGGTTTTGTCGCCACCTAGTGTTGTGGGTGTATTATTGACATGTCAAAGTCTAGACCCTGAATATAAGACGACCGCGTTTTTTCAGATGTATTTCCAAGAAAAAAACATCGTCTTATATTCGGGACAATACGGTAGTTCAGATAGAGTATATGCATATAATTACTCTTCGCAGGGCCTTTATGCAGCATTTTAGTGAATCGATTTGGATGCCGTCCAGTGATGTTGGTGGGTGGCCTCTTTGCATCGTTGGGAATGGTCTTGGCATCATTTGCCACAAGCATCATCCACATTTACTTGTGTACAGGAGTCATTACAGGTACCTCAGCCATCATTTACTCTTTTACTGATGTCTATCCAGGGACATGTAAACATTTCTATCTTCTGATTCCAGGTCTTGGAATGGCTCTGAACTTCCAGCCGTCACTCATTATGTTGAATCGATATTTCAGTGAGAAGCGGCCGCTGGCTAATGGCCTGGCCGCAGCTGGGAGTCCAGTGGCTCTCTGCTGTCTGTCCCCTTTGGGGCAAGTCCTTCAGTATGAATATGGCTGGAGAGGGGGCTTCCTCATCTTGGGAGGGATGCTTCTGAACTGCTGTGCCTGTGGGTGAGCTATGCCAAAGAGTTGGGAAACGAAGACACGAAATCCGCCCTCCTGCTTACCATTCTGGGTTTCATTGACATTTTCGCACGGCCCACGTGTGGCATCATCGCTGGACTCCAGTGGGTTCGCCCTCGATGCGTCTACCT